TAATTTTATTAATTTATGCAATGATTTTACTTATATCTGTTATAATTAATTTTTGTCGAGTAATATTTTTTAACCTTTATTTAATTATATAAAACTAATATTTTCTTAAAAATTAACATTATTCATCATTTAAAAGATAATGATCACATCATTAAATGATTTTATTGATGGCTAGATAATATAATTATATTAGTTATTCTTTAAAATTTCGACATGTTATTTATTTGTATATTATTGTCAACTATGATAGTGTTTTTATCACTTTTTTGTTATGTTTCAAAAACTGAACTTATTGTAAAATATTTTTTTATTGCATAGTATGTTAAATAAACTATAAAGCCTCGGGATGAAAATTAGAAAAATCTCTTGATTATGTAAGGGATTTATTTTTGGCAATTGCTAAATCATTTTTTTTTTTAAAAAAAATTATTATGAGAAAATTGAATTTTAAAAAACATGTGTGTGTATTTTGTAAACATTTATACTCAAAATTTTATTTTGAATTTCATTACATAAAGAATACTACTTCTATAACTTTTATAAATAATAATACTGACATTATATGACTATAAATTTTATAAAAAAATAATAAGTGAGTATTATATGGTGAACAAGAATAAACAAATTTTTTATTTTTTCTTATATCAATGAATAAATACGTATTCTAAAATCAAATAAATATTAGTATGACGTGTTAGCGGAATTATGTATTAATTAACATGTTAATTTTTTGGCTTAAATAAATGTCACTTATTAAAAGATGTGAAATATGGATGATCCAAGCCTATTGTTTTTTGTCTAAACATACAAGTCATATAGAAATAATTGATTTATTATATGTATCACGTGCATCGCACGGGGTATGCACTAGTATAATTAAATTCAAATACACAATAGGAGAATAACTAAGATATAGAAAGTTAATATTAGAAGACCTTCCTTTTCTCTTCAAACATTAATTCCAAGTTAAGTACTATTTCAAGAAAAACAAATATGATAAACAAATAATATTTTTAATTAATGCAGAATTCAATTTACCGGTTTTGCTATGAAGCCAACAGTTGGCTCCATAGTGGAGTCAACCTTCTATATACAACAAAAAAACCTATCATTAGGGGTGAGCATCGGTGCGGTTCGGTCAAAAACCGCACCGCACCAAATAACCGAAAACCGAATTTTTAATTTTTTTTACCAAACCGAAAATTTCAGTTCGATGCGGTTCGGTTCTTCGGTTAACCGAAATTAAAAAAATATAACCATCAATCAATTAATGCTATGTAAGTAAAATTACCTTATTCGGTGCGGTTTGGTTAAAACCGCACCATTCGGACAAAAAACCGAACCGCACCGAAATACTTGCGATTTTTTTTAAATCCAAACCGCACCGAATTTCTCGGTTCTATGCGGTTTTTCAGTTTCGGCTCGGTTTTGATCACCCATACCTATCATATTCGTTGATTACTTAAATAACACTAATATAATTTTATTAATATGATAGATTTACTTGTTGTATATAGAAGGTTGACTCGACTATGAAGCCAACTGTTGGCTAAAGAGCAAAACCGTCCAATATACTTACCGAACGTCATCTAATTACTCGACTAAAACAAATTATGAGACAGTGGGGCCACTGTTAGATAGGCCGGTTAGATATTTATGCAAAACTTTCAAACTTAAATACCATACCATAAAAACAACATAAATAAACGTATGACAATTAACAATGCCGTTTTGCCTAATAGTTAGAATGACTCACACAAAAGATTTGGATAACATAATTGCACCACAAAGTACAGCCCAGTCTCATAAGTGTAGAGATTTTAATTTATCAATACTATCAACAGATCACTTTCATTTTGTTGATAAAAGGTACGCTCGAAGTGGAAACAATTGATAAAATTCAAAACAACTATATAACGTCTATTAACACAAGGATAGCTTTACATTCACCTTATTAACTCAATTCAGGATATAACGATAATCACAACATAAAATAAACCTGGCCTTGAACTTGATCAAGTCTCATTTCTCATGTTTTCAGCTATCATTCTTTCCTCATTGGCATCAATGGAAAGGAAAAGAATGCACCCGAAACTTCAGAGACACCAAATCACCCGAGATAATCAGCGCTACGTCCCCCAAAAGTTCAGCATCGGCTCGTTTGTCCTGAAAACAAAGGCCCCTGCAAAAAAATAAAAAAAAAATCGACCAACCAATTTGTATTCAATAGTACAACAATCGATACATGAGAAGACGAACGCAACATTTAGGTAAAGCACAATGACAATTAACGATACCGAGTGTGGGCATCAACACGGACAGGGCGAGTATGCCAGCGACCTTCAGCGGTGCCCCGACCATCAACATATCGTTGATCTCGATGTGTCCCGTCGTGAAGCCGACGATGTTTGATGGGGTCCCGGTCGGGAGGAGGAACGCGAACTGGGCCCCGATGGCCCCCGGGACCATGAGGAGGAGCGGGTGGAGGCCCATTGTGCGGGCGATCTGGATGAGGAGGGGGACCACCATAGTGCACGCCGCGTTGTTGGACATGAACTCCGTCATGGTCCCGCTGACGAGGCCCACGGCGGGGGCCACGGCCCAATAAGGGGTGGCCTCCAGAAAGTCGAGGGCCTCGGATAGGAATTGAGCCAGCCCGCTAGTGCGGACCCCTTCGGCTATGGCGAAGCCCGCGCCGAGGAGGAGGACGATGTTCCACGGGATCTTCTTGCACTTGTTCCAGTCCATGAGCTTCTCTCGCGGGCTCTTCCTGTTTGGGATTATGAATAGAAGCGTCGCCATCACCACCTGAATGATTCATGACGGACGGAATTAACTTTTATTTTATTTATTATTATTTTTATTTTTTGTGAGGAAAAAGATAATTGTGGAAATTGTGAATACTGACGCTGGCAGTGCCGTCGCCGGCGCGGCCGTTGAAGAGGGATCCCCAGCCGGGTATGTCGTCGGTTATGTTCCTTGTCATCCAGAGTAGTATTAGAATCTGACGTGGACCAATCAAAATCATTTGAATTAGGTGAAGGGTCAAATCAAGTAGTCGATTTAGTTGAAGTGTACAAGTAATTGAGGTTGACTCACCGAAAATATAGCTAAAATCATCTTTTCTGCAAATGCCATTGGACCTAACAGTTGTAGCAAAATCATATTCAGTAAAGGACCATAGAACCGTAGCATTTCCCTAATCACGGAATCATTATCTCGGAGTTTGTAACCGTTAGATCATCGTGTAATTGTCGGGAATAGTTGATCTAACGGTAACAAACTCCGACGAAATGGTTCCGTAACGAGACTGTACCATCTCCGGTGAGTTTGTATTTTAATGATTATGATTAAATAAAAATAAAAGAAGGTTCATGCACCAAGAACAGTGAATTATTGAATCTTATCACCAAAAACAAAATCCAAAAAAAAAAAAATGTATTAAAAAAAAAAGAAATAAAACATGGGCCTCACCGAGCAAATCAAGCTCCCTCCTCAAATGGGCCTTGTCCAGATACGCCGATAACGCCGGTCCAGATCCCTTCCTGCAGTAGAGCAAGCAGAGTATGGCCCACAAGGCAACAAAGATGACCAAGGCAAGTGGGAAGCCGAAAAACAGCCACGTGTTGAAGCTGATGGGGCGGGCCTCCGGGAAATAGCTCTTCCACATCCCAACCAGTATGAGGTTGACACCTGTCCCCGTGAGGGTGCTCATACCACCCACCGCCGCCGAGTAAATCACCCCGAGCACCACCGCCTTGCAGAACATGGAGACGAGCACCGGCTGAGCGGGCCCCACCGGCAGCCGCTGCAGGATCCCCGTGGCCACCGGCATCATCATAACGGCGGCCGCCACGTTGTGCATCCACATGCTCACGAACGCGGTGGTCCCGCAAATGCCCAGCAGCAGCAGCGGCGGGCTCAGGGGATCGCCGCAGAATAGCAGGGTTATCTGCGTTTTGGGCCCATTTTCTTATTTGGCTTCATTTTTCATTACTATATTCAAGAACAAATATAATATATAAATAAATAAAAATTTAATCTAGAATGTTAAAAGCACCTTCTCTGTTCCATCCCCTGTTTCTAAAGTAATCATGTACCCAAATTACACTGTTTGACAAGATTTTAGCTCTTACATTGAGAGCTAATCGCCGGTGTATGTTGTAGTGCTCGACGGCGAGCGCGAGTATGAAACTCCCCAAAACAAGCGTGATAACGTCATCCATGTACGAATGCGCCACTTCGTCGGCGGTGGAGATCCCGAAGAGCGGGAAGAGGAAGAGGGGCGACATGGAGGTTACGGGCATCGGCACCGCCTCAGTCATCCACCAGGTGAACACCCACGCCAGGACCCCCAGCATATTCCGACTGGACGACCCGCCGACGCCGTCGAGCCTGACGGTGAGGCAGACGACGGTGCACAGCATCGGGCCGAGAAGGATGAAGAAGCTTTTCATGTTGAAAAGGGATTTTAGGAACGAGTCGGAGCCCGACGGGCTGGGATTCGGGTCGTGGACCGGTAGAAGCGGGGTTTTGGGGTCGTCGGAAGGAACGGCATCGGCGCCATTCATTCTTCGGCGGCGAGAATTTTATTATTTTTTTTTTTTTGTTAAAAAAAATTGTGAGGATAATACTTCTACAAAAGGATTTTTTGTTAGGTTGGATGGATTGAAATTATAAGCATGTTTTAAATATAATTTCGGTGGTCATACCGGTCTAGTCATAGGTACCCGTTATTACTAGTTGGATCGATAATATCGATGATATTATCGAACTAGCAAATATATTTGTACATAAAAATGTGTAATACCAATGTAAAAAAAAAAGACAATAATCATTAATTTCAACTTCTTAATGAGATAAAAATATAACATTCTAACTATCAGTTTAAATTTTATATTTTTAAATTAATATTTTTTTATTGGTTGATCTGTATATTCTGCTATTTACAATATGATCTCGATACAAACTATTGTAACCGTACATTCGGTATTTTATATATAATTGTATCATATCCATGGTCGGTATTCAATATTACCGATGATACGGTACAATATTTCAATAATTGATTATAAGTGTTGCTCGGAGACATGGCTTTAAATAAGAGGTT